GTCAGTAAAAGAGTGGGTGTGTCAGTAAAAGAGTGGGCGTGGTTAGTAAAAGACTTGGTGCGGTCAGTAAAAGATTGGGTGTGAGTAAAATAATGAGTGTGGTCAGTAAAAGAGTGGGTGTGTCAGTGAAAGAGTGGGTGTATCAGTAAAAGAGTGGGTGTGTCAGTAAAAGAGTGGGTGTGTCAGTAAAAGAGTGGGTGTGTAAGTAAAAGAGTGGGTGTGTCAGTAAAAGAGTGGGCGTGGTTAGTAAAAGACTTGGTGCGGTCAGTAAAAGATTGGGTGTGAGTAAAATAATGAGTGTGGTCAGTAAAAGAGTGGGTGTGTCAGTGAAAGAGTGGGTGTATCAGTAAAAGAGTGGGTGTGTCAGTAAAAGAGTGGGTGTGTCAGTAAAATAGTGGGTGTGGTTAGTAAAAGACTTGGTGCGGTCTGTAAAAGAGTGGGTGTGTCAGTAAAAGAGTTCGTGTGTCAGTAAAAGAGTGGGTGTGTCAGTAAAAGAGTTTGTGTGGTCAGTAAAAGAGTGGATGTGTCAATAGAAGACTGTGTGTGGTCAGTAAAAGACTTGGTGCGGTCAGTAAAAGAGTGGGTGTGGCCACTAAGAGAGTACGGTAATCATTTGATGCAGGACAAAATACATTCACCTGTCATCATATGGTCCGAATAAGAGTATAATCCAAAAAAAATTTTTACATTCTGGTGCGGTGTCAACGTACGGGGTCGTTCACAAATTACGTCTCGCTAAGGGGTAGGGGGTGTCTAGAATTTGTGACACTTGTGACAGGGGGGGGGGGTCAAAAATTGTGACGTCCTAAAATAAAACAAAATTAAAAAATATAAAATATAAAATTTTCTAATTTTGAAAAAATCTTTATTCAATTAATTTTTGTTTTAGGTCGATATTGCCTCTGGTATTATAGCTACCAGGAAATTCAATCGCGCACAACTTCTGCGCATATAGAAAAATGACGCAAAAACTTTTCTGGCCATTTTTACTTTCGGCTTGGGTATGATTTTGTTGCTTTGCGTTTTACGTCACAGTTGTTCTATTAATACGACATCTTAATCTATTATGGTAATGTTGAAATGTTAAAGAATAAAAAAATCTTGGTTTATTTATGAAAATTGTATATATGTTTTGAATATTTTAGGTGTGACGTGGCACTAAGTGCGTATGGGGGGGGGTGGGGGGTAAAGGACTTGTGACACTTTGTGACAGGGCGAAGGGGTCATAAAAGGTCATTTTTTTGCGTGACGTAGTTTGCAAACGAACGACCCCTACAAAATCTTTTCATAATATCGTTTCCATAAAGATCCTTTCAGGCTTACTCTTACTGTTAGCAGAGAATTCAAGGGTCAGTGCAAAACTGATGTCTATATTTAGATCGTCCCTCGCATGCAAAGTAGTAGCTTTGACTTACGCTGTAGTTTATTTAAAGTAAGCAAGGGTAGCTCTATTCATCAGCCTCATTCTCTCGTTCTTTCATATTTTTTTTACAATGGAAAGACTTAGCAAAGACGACTTGAAATAGCCAAGAATGCAGTAGATCACCGGCAGTGTTTCTAGAGTATCACTGGGTCCCACGTCGCAGGAATTGGTCAGAATTTTCATTGTGTCATACCGCCTACGGGACTCCAGTCCACATGCTTGGGACTGATTCAGTTAAGACCGCTCGGCCACCTTTAGTTTTAGTTAAGAAGGTCGTTATAAATTTGTTCGTGTCTCTCGTGTAAAAGCTTGATCTGTCTACGTCACAACTTTTTAAACAGCTACTGCAAAAATTTATTAACCAATGACAACATAAATGTATGTGTTGTGTTTATTGTTAACTTATGATTATAGTCGTATCTTCTTAGAAAATGTTCGGAATCTATTTAGTATTTGTTTAGTATCTATTTAGCAAATGTTAAGTATCTATTTAGGATATGTTTAGTTTCTATTTATTGAATTTTTAGTATCTATTTAGTAGATATTTAGTATATATTTAGTCAATGTTTAGCATCTATTTATTATATGTTTAGTATCTATTTAGTATATGTTTAGTATCTATTTTTTATATGTTTAGTATCTATTTTTTATATGTTTAGTATCTATTTTTTATATGTTTAGTATCTATTTTTTATATGTTTAGTATCTATTTTGTATATTTTTAGTATCTAGTTAATATATGTTTAGTATCTATTGAGTATATTTAGAATCTATTTAGTATATTTAAGTCTATGTGACTTGTAACTATGTACCACATCAGCGTATCTTGTTATTCATCTGTCCCAACCATTTCAAAATGACCTCACTTACCAGCATGGCTGTTGAAGGTGAACTACTGATGTGAAATCTTGCTAAAATAAACACTAGTTACTAACCTTCGAGTAATGTTTAGTTTTTTTTGTTTTTTGTTTACCGGTATCCCATCCAATTTTTAGGAAATGTATGTGCTCCGTTTGACGTGGTTACGGATGCCCTGATGCCCCAGAAAATCTCAAGTCTAGAGATCCCGTGTATAACTTAAACTATAGATGATTTATCAAGTACTTTTACAACTACGCATGCTCAATATATAGAAACAAGTAATTAAAAATGTGAACATTTTCCTGGCATGTCAGTCGTCGTTATCAAGTATGCAACCACTGGTCAGTTAGATTGAGTTGAATCATGTGAATGGATCAATAACCTGCTCAAGCTCTAACATAAGTCAGTAAAGATCTAAAATAGACTACCTATTAAGTGAACTCAGACATTATGAATTATCTTACAATAAGACATTTGTAAATAACACCAAGACGCTTTGAAATACCACTAACACATTCCAAAATAACAGTAGGAAATTTCGAAATAAATCTAAGACATTTTAAAATAACACTACGACATTTTAAAATAACACCAATACGTTCTCAAATCAAATAGTTTCATATTTTCTCTTTAATCATTAAAATCTTACAATAAATCTCCATACATCAAATATAACATGCCACCCAAGCATATTTGACAATCATCGGTTGTTATGCGCATGCGCATATGGGACAACCATCCGGGCCTGTGGCAAAGCCATTCTCACAATAAATCTTACAGAGTACAGGGGAGCAGACAGCTCTCTTCACTTCCTTACACGCGCAGGACTCACAGCCGTTCTCATCCAAGTCATAGCCGTCTGGACAAGCCATGCACCTGTAAACTGGACATCTACGTTGCTGGGGTAGCCCTGCAAGAGAGAAACATCCATAGTCCATAGTTAATAAATACCATAGACAACAACTCACAGTTGCATTTGATCCATCACATCTTGGTTTGTTGATAGCCAATACTAGCTGTCAACTGTTAACTCTACTCTATAAAGACTACATTTCAAGTGTAAGCTTTCCTCTATTGAATAGGCAAGTGTTGATCTTTAAAGAAACAAAAAAAAAAAAGGAGAATAAATTGAAAATGTAGACTTATGGTATATTTGTAAAGAGCTACAAATGAAACTAAATACCAACTTAAAATTACGATTGCAAAGTATCATTCCGTCACAAGATGTCATTCTGTCACTATAGATGTCACAGTAGATGTCTATAGGTGCTTAACACTTAATCATAATTAATAAGAACTATATTTTCTGGTAACCTTTGTCTTACTACATCAACTTACAATTTACTTTCGAGTTATTGAACTTTTTGTCTTACTATATCAACTTACAATTTACTTTCGAGTTATTGAACTTTTTGTCTTACTATATCAACTTACAATTTACTTTCGAGTTATTGAACTTTTTGTCTTACACTTTATTCGAATTATAATTTTGTCTTACTAAATGTCTAACTTATTTTTCTTACTTATTGGTCTTACTTTATTCCTTACTATGTGTCTTACTTTATGTCTTTCTTATTTGTCTTACTAAATGTCTTATTTATTTCTCTTACCTCGTTACCGAATTAATTCTTACCACGTCGAGTCTTGTTCCTTGTATAAATATAGAATATAATTACTCAAAAGGAGGACCCATCACCAATGTTTCTGATCTTACCTGCAACAAAAGTCACGAGAAGAGCGGTGACAAGTAACTTGATCATGGCGTAACTGTGTTCAGCTTATTGCGTTCAGCTGGTCACTTCAACAAGAGATAAGACTCGGTCAGCACAGCAGAAGATCACATGAGGTTTTATACAATTTGTCTCGAGTATCCTGTTTCATGACTGGGATGTTAGTTTTGTTCATCTCAGTCAGGGGTTGAACCCACGTGACCTCTCTGACCTATCAATGATACTTTGTCGAAAGCCCATTTTTCGAACAGAAAGAATTCATTGATGTAATGACCAGATTTTTTAAAAGCGTCTATAAGAGTGACCTCTTGGAAAAACGCAATTTGAGGACCATTGTTTTTAGAGCATGTCAACACCGTCATGTGACCAACAGCTGTGCCGAGTAATCAATTTCCCCGGTCAAAAAACCATCTCATTCCTTTTTTGAACCATATCTCTATCACAAAAACCAATTGTTTTGGCATTCGTTAGGACGCTTTGATCCGATGAATTTTAATCATTTTGCATTATGAGATAAACATAAAGCATAATCTACTGGAGCTGTGACCGTCCTATTCCAACTTTAATTGAAATAAATGTCGGTGACACGCTCGAACGTTGCTGTACTAATACAGTTTCGGACTTACCGTAATATGGGCTGTAAGGTTCTGACTTACTGTAACATGTGATTGTGCTACAAATGCATTAGCACTTCAGTTGATTCGTTCCGACTAGGGTAATTTAATTATTTAACCATTTATTTAGTCATATGAAAAATTTCTCTTTATAAATAATCAGAGTGTCTTCTTTCATCCGCTACTACTAAAAATAAAAGCCCATACAATTTAACAATGTCAATTCCCTTACCCCAATGCCTCACAAAAAAGCACAGTGAAACGGCTACACGAATACTCTCAGCACCAAACACGGCACCTACAAATCACAAACACATCATTCCTTTGTTTGGAGCGCCTTTTAGCAAAATTACGTCATGGAAAAAAAAAGGGGGGCGGGGGGGGGGCGGTCATGGTTATACCAAAGTAGACTCCAAGAAGATTAGATTTCAGAAAGTTGAAAAAGTCGTTTTCAAATTTTTGAGGATATTAATCCAGGGGATTTTATTTCACACGATGTTATTTAAAAGGATGTTATTTCAGAAGATGTTATTTTAGAGTATGTTATTTCAGATGATGTTATTTCAGAGGGTGTTATTTATAGATGAACTATGAAGAACCTTTGGTCGCCTCTTACATCCTTTACATGTCAACTTACAAGGTTTGTCAAATTGATTTGGAATGTGGTTCGTAAACCCAGTGTCTCCTAACTTACATAATAATAAAGGTTTGATCTTAAACTGCTCGGAACAAGAGTCGAGTAGAATAACTTATGTTAGTAGATAAATATTCACAAATACATAGCAGTCGTACTAAAGAAGACAATGTGTGAACTTTCTCTATGAATGATCATAGAAAAGAGAACAAAAACACATATACGAATGTGAAATTACACTGACACAAATGTCTACTTCCATTTGATACGGATGTCAACTAACCCTGATAAGAATGTCTAATCACACTGATACGAATGTCAAATTACACTAAGATGAATGTCAAACAACACTAAGATGAATGTCAAACAACACTAATACGAACGTCAAATTACACTAAGATGAATGTCAAACAACACTAATACGAACGTCAAATTACACTAAGATGAATGTCAAACAACACTAATACGAACGTCAAATTACACTAAGATGAATGTCAAATTACACTAAGATGAATGTCAAATAACACTAATACGAACGTCAAATTACACTAAGATGAATGTCAAACAACACTAATACGAACGTTAAATTACACTAAGATGAATGTCAAACAACACTAATACGAACGTCAAATTACACTAAGATGAATGTCAAACAACACTAATACGAACGTCAAATTACACTAAGATGAATGTCAAACAACACTAATACGAACGTCAAATTACACTAAGATGAATGTCAAACAACAATAATACGAACGTCAAATTACACTAAGATGAATGTCAAACAACACTAATACGAACGTCAAATTACACTAAGATGAATGTCAAACAACACTAATACGAACGTCAAATTACACTAAGATGAATGTCAAATTAATACGAACGTCAAATTACACTAAGATGAATGTCAAACAACACTAATACGAACGTCAAATTACACTAAGATGAATGTCAAACAACACTAATACGAACGTCAAATTACACTAAGATGAATGTCAAATAACACTGATGCGAATTTCAAATAACGATGATGCGAATGTCATTGAAACACTGTTACGAATGTCATCTAATACTGATACGAAACGTAATGTCAATTAAATACGGCCATTGAATTGGTCTTTACCGGTTGTTTTAGTTTGTCAATGATTCTATGAGATGAGCTAGCAAACCTGAACCAATTCCACAATTAAAATGATCCCAGTATTTTAGTGTTTACAGCATTACAAATCGTACAACATAGCAAATCATACAACATTACACCTCATACAATATAACACATCATACAACATATTTAAATTGGTTTTGAATTCATTTTATTGAGTCGAAAATAAAGTAAAGAAAGATTTCTCCCAATGATTAGTTATACAATGAGAGCACCAGCACAGCTACACAGCGGACAGCCGTTAGCTCCAATAGCGAACCCGTTGTCACAGAACATGGCGCACATGACCAAGGGGCAAAGGTTGAGGGCGCGCTCTTCGTCCATGCACGTGCAGGTCTGGCAGCCATGTTCATCGATGACGTAGCCACCAGCACATGGCATACATTTCATCATGGGGCACCGTTGTCTCTTGTCAAGGGCTGAAATATCCAATGACATGATGTACTTGACTTTCCATGTACGTATGAACATATGAAACAAAGAAACGCCATAATTCCGGCACAAAGATTGTGGACTTACAGTCTAAAACTTTAAATATGTATCGGCAAGAATGTAGTGGATATAGGGTGTTAAATCATAAATATGTACCAGCAAACAGATAGTGGATTTACAGATTTAAATCGTAAATATCCTAAATGTCACATCATACTCTGGGGTAAGTCACATCATTCTCTGGGGTAAGTCACATCATATTCTGGGGTAGTCACATCATACTCTAGGGTAAGTCACATCATACTCTGTGGTAAGTCACATCATACTCTGGGGTAAGTCAGATCATACTCTGGGGTAAGTCACATCATACTCTGGGGTAAGTAACATCATACTCTGGAGTAAGTAACATACTTTTATGGCCTGACATTTGTTGGTACGATATTATAAAATCTTCGTAAACTGAGATGAGAAATCAACCAAATGTCAGCGTCAGTTTCGGCTGCTGGTTGGTACCTAGTTAGGCGTGATCTAGTTTGTTGATGTGACATACACCTGTATAGGCGTCATCTAGTTTGTAGACGTCACGTACACTACTCACCCACTGTGGCCTGACAAGTGTGGCCACACCCATTAGACCGACAAACATATCCGGCTGGACATCCCAAGGACACGCCCCCCGCGTGGCTGCCTGTGCTGCATTCTTCGACACAGATCCCAATCATGCCGAGGTCGAGGACAGCAGGGGAGGCTGAAACACGATAACCAAAGATCCGTTTATGCGGAGTCCTGACAGTGACCTACACAATGGGCGAATATCCAGTCAAATTGTAGCTTTGTGTTTTCAATTAATATTTAGTTTTATACCCTTACAAAAACCACGTGTCTTGTATTAATGATGCATGAGATTCCATTTTAGCACTTCTTCAAGTTGCTGACCATCAAATACGTTCTTTTATTTAGTATCATGTGGGGTATAGGTTGAAAGTTAATAGATGTATGGAGTAGAACAAAAAAGAACAGTAAATTTAAATAATAATAATACTAATAATAAAGTTCAATTCAAAAACATGCTTCATCACTAATTAAGGCTCAAAGCGCGGGACAAAGTCAACCATATATGAATATTTATAAAGTAATTTTAGTAGCCTCGGTGTTATGCCTGAATGGAAGTGCAGGATGTTCTTACCGAAGTGTTATACCTTTGCTGAAAAGAAAAAAAACTTTCCGAATTATATGTTCAGCCAATGGCCAAACGAGAATAATCTTGGGTGCCAAACTGGGAGCATACGACGAGCCGACGATGTGGTACCAATGGACAAAAAGGAAATGAGTACAACAAAGAATGGGGAAACTCAACACAGCAATGAACGTTTCGGCGGGAAGTCTTCGTCGGTTATGCAACAACTATAAGGTTTGGGGCTGTCTCTATTTTGTCTGGGATACATTTCGAGTACTCGTCATTTGCTCTTTAATCTTTTTGTCTGAAAAAATGTAAAACTCTGTGTTCAACAACTGCCGAGCATCAGAATAGGCCCGACATGTCAGTGTCATCTAACGTCATCTAAAAACATAAAACTGATTTTTTGTGGTCCTGATCGCTACTGCCTTATGGAAAGTGTCAATAACGTGATCTTACCCGCGGCAAGCGTTAGAAGGAGAGCTGCTAGGAAAATCTTCATGGTGGTCTGTTACGACAGTGTAGTACAACGTGAATGTGGTGAATGGCGCTAGATGTGATCAGAGATTGGTCGGTGGACGGCTCGCGACCAGGCTTTTATTGTACCTAAGAATTGTAACGATAGTTTGCTGACCGTACTTATCATTTTGACTTATCCTTATCACCAGTTTGATTTTTTTTAAAAATCTATTAAATTTTTTGTTTTTTGTTTTCTTTTGTTTGTTTGTCCTCATGACCTTAACGTTGATTATATTGGTGACCATCTATTTTGAAATTCTACCAAAATAGTTTCTAAAAGCAGCCACACAACAGATTTGTTTCTTGTACTTAAAAGAAAATAGCGGCCAAAAGTGTTCGAAGTCATGTGTTCGAAGTCAACAACGGTGTCAAATGCTACAACGGTGTCAAAGTCTCCAACGGTGTCAAATGCTACAACAGTGTTTTTTGGCTGATACAAATAAAACTTTCTCAAGCTCTTTGGTGTACAGTGAAAGGGCAGCAGGCGTTCACAATAATTTTTTTTTTGGGTTCGCAACTAAGAGTTCTCAGAATGTTGAGCCATCAAGAGTCTTGGTAGTACGGCCGTTCACTGCACTAATGAACCTGTTCATTGAATTGTTCAGTCAATTGAAGAGAATTTTAGAGAAAATAATATGACGATGTTGACATAATGAAGTGTTGTAACATCTTGCACAGTTATTTTTAAATGGAACTAACGATCAATGGTCTAGCTCGATCTCTTCCACGTTACTGTGATGAATGTGGTTGTTGTTTAACCATTGCTTAGCAAAACAAAATGTTGACATGTTTAGTATTATGGTCCTTAGTTTTGTTGAAGATAAAAAGACTTGGTTCGACCATCATCCATGACCATCATCCATGACCATCATCCATGACCATCATCCATGACCATCATCCATGACCATCATCCATGACCATCATCCATGACCATCATCCATGACCATCATCCATGACCATCATCCATGACCATCATCCATGACCATCATCCATGACCATCATCCATGACTATCATCCATGACACCCCTAAAGTAAATGAGACGTTAAGATTTATTTTATTTAATTTGCAACACAAACTGTCTTCCACATTTACAGACATTTTGTTTGAACGCAATTGAACATATTGATGAGAGGAATAGTCAGAATTACATCTTGTAACGTGTGGTAACGTGTGGTAAGGTGTGGTAAGGTGTGGTAACGTGTGGTAACGTGTCGTAAGGTGTGGTAACGTGTGGTAACGTGCGTTCACGTGTTTTAAAGTTACCTAACGTGTGATAACATGTGTTAAATGCGATAATGTGTGGTAAGGTGTGGTAACATGCTATTAAGTGCGATAGCGTGTGGAAAAGTGTGATAACGTGTGGTAACGTGTGGTAACGTGTGGTAACGTGTGGTTACGTGTGGTAACGTGTTGTAACGTGTGGTAAACTACAGCAACCCAGACTTCACTCTTTCTTTTTAAACCATTGAAAAAACATGCTTGAAAGTCTTGGCATTATTTGTAACCTTATTTAAACTCCACCAGTGATGTCTGTTAAAATCTCACTCATTAAAACTCTACTAGTGATGTCTGCGTTCAACTAATCTCAACATTTTTAAATGCTGAACGAATACAACACAGTAATTTATGCATTATTGTGCGTTCCACCGTTCTTCCAAAAGTTTTTAACCAAACCAAAGAATTGATGAGTAACATAAAAAGTTTTACTTTTAAATGTGTAACCTGCGTTTATTGATGCAGACAAAGATATAACATTTGTTTAAATAAAATGTTTACAGTCTTTGAACAGAAGCATTGGTCAAGCACACGTCATTACATAAAGTGATCTTTTAAGACCTCTGTCTAAGATATGGCAAGAACTTCAAGCACATCGACAGATTTCACAGCCGTCTGCTCCTACGGCGAATCCGTTTTCACAGAACATGAGGCACATGACCCCGGAGCACACGGCACGGTTCACTTCCTTGCACGTGCATGTCTGGCAGCCATCTTCATTGACCTCGTACCCAGCAGGGCAGGCGACACACTTCACCATGGGGCACTCGTGCTGTAGCAGCGGAGACGCTGAAAGGGAAATGATCAGATCAAAATTAAATTAGTTTTTGTTTTTCCGGTAAAAAAACTTTTGAAATTCCCAAAATACGCGTAGTATTGAACTACCTTGAAGGGGGATAACGGGAGGGGGCTGACGTAAGGAGGGGTGACGTGGTGGTTACGCTGGGGGCCAGACTTTTTTTTGGAGGGTGGGGGGGGCGGCATTTTGGTCAACTAGCAAAACTAAAATATTGCTTTAAAAAAATATTTGTGCATTTATTATGTTTTGCGTATTTTTTTAAGCAAGAAGTGGTAAAAGGAAAAGACCTCTGGAGTGTAACAATGTCTAAGTAACCCATTGCCTGTCAAGCCACACCATAGTCTAGCAAATGTAATTTAATTATTAGAGAGTGCAGTTGACGTCACACAGTATATATGTATATACCATGAGCAGCTGTGGGATGCAACAATTATTTAACAAATTGTTCGGTTCGCCTTAAAAAAAATGAAACAATTCATGTATACCAAAAGTTAGTTTATTATTCCATGGAGTTTATGCCTATAAAAAAGTACACAAAGAGGTCCTGAAGACTAGATTATGTTATAAGAAAAGTTAACATTGAGTATATATATTTGAAATGTTCACCTTTGAACGCATGCCAAGCCATCTGGCTTAGTTCACCTTTGAACGCATGCCAAGCCATCTAGCTCAGAGAGTACAATGATGACATGCGCCATTTGAACGCATGCCCAGCCATCTAGCTCAGAGAGTACACTGATCACATGCGCCAATTGAACAGCCCCATTAAAATTTAAAATAAATGAAAATCGGTTCTTTAGAACCGGTGCAAGCCGGCTGAATCGTTCTTAGCTTTAAACCAAAATGGAGTGCTACGTGCCGGAGGTACAGAGAAATTTCATGAAATTAGCAGATATTTAAAATGTTGAATTATCAAAAAACTTATAAGCATATGTTTTAAACAAAATATTACTTGATACTTTAATAAACAAAAAATTAAAATAAAATATAATTGCTAAATAAAACACAAATATAATTTAGACATAAATCTAAAAGGAAATATAATTAAAATATATTTCATACATTAAGCATACACATTTTGCCTTGCATAAATTGCATTTCATAAAAATAAAAGATAAACCTCTTCTTACCTGCAACCAGTGTAAAAACAATTAAAAGGCTTGCTAGAATAAGTTTCATTTTTTTGTTTTTGTCAAGTGAGTTACTCTGTTAAAGAAATTTACCAAATAGTTTGTGAAATGAAAAGCCTTACAGTTTTAACTCTTTATAACTGGGATTAAAAACAAAAATAGACACCCGATAAAGCAATAATTGTTCAACAGAGTTGTCTGCCTCTAGCTGGCTATGAAGTACGACCATGGTCAAGGTCATATTTCAGGACCAATTTTTTACAGTTGTCTGGCAGGTTAAGAGGTCAAAGTTCATATTAGATGCAAGAAACATGGGATTCTATCAGACAGTTTAATTTTAGACACGAGCACTTGCCACGAGTTGTACCGTCACAGCTGACGTCATCAATGAGAAGCTGCCATTTGATTCGAAGCAGTTCAGAGCCCCACGTATACTCATCACGTCAGACTAGAGTAAGTCACGATCAGAGCCCCAAGTTTACTGATCACGCCAGACTAGAGTAAGTCACGATCATAAAATCTCATTGTATCAGCAAAACTACGCTAAATGACAAACTACACACGTCCATCATTCGTGAACCTAACTCATCACACTCACCCAAGACAGTGTCCCGAGAACAAAATTCCCACGAACAAACACCATGTTCCATATATCCTAACCCAATGTTCCTAACTGCTATAATCCTAACCCAATGTTCTTAACTGCTGTAATCCTAAGCCAATGTTCCTAACTGCTATAATCCTAAGCCAATGTTCCTAACTGCTATAATCCTAACCCGATGACCTTAACTCTATGACGCTCATCCAGAGTTCCTAAGTTCAAGATTATATATACCCTTAATCCTAACCCAATTATTATAGCCCCTTTAATCTAATCCCTTGATCCTAATCCATTTATCTTAATCCCTTAAGCCTAATACCTTGATCCTAATCCCATGATCCTAACGAATTAATCCCAACGCGATGTGCGTAACTCCATGACAACAAACCCATGACAACAACCCCATGACAACAAACCCATGACAACAACCCCATGACAACAAACCCATGACAACAACCCCATGACAACAACCCCATGACAACAAACCCATGATAACAACCCCATGACAACAACCCCATGACAAAAAACCCATGACAACAACCCCATGACAAAAAAACCCATGACAACAACCCCATGACAACAACCCCATGACAACAAACCCATGACAACAACCCCATGACAACAAACCATTGACAACAACCTCATGACAACAAACCCATGACAACAACCCCATGACAACAAACCCATGACAACAACCCCATGACAACAAACCCATGACAACAAACCCATGACAACAACCCCATGACAAAAAACCCATGACAACAAACCCATGACAACAACCCCATAACAACAACACCATAACAACAAACCCATGACAAAAACACCATGACAACAACACCATAACAACAACAGACAACAACCCCATGACAACAACCCCATGACAACAAACCCATGACAACAACCCCATGACAACAACCCCATGACAACAACCCCATGACAACAAACCCATGACAACAACCCCATGACAACAACCCCATGTCAACAACCCCATGACAACAAATCCATGCATGAAAAACTCATGAAAACTCATGACAACAACCCCTTGACAACAAACCCATGAGAATAGCCATATGAAATTTGAAACATTTCAATAACCCATGATAGTAAAACCATGACCAATCAACCCACGGCAATAACCCAATGGCAATAAACCAATGATGATAACCCCATGACATAATTCGATGACAATCAAACCATGATGATAATCACATGAAAATTAACCCTTGACAAATAACCCATGAAAATATGCCCCTAAATATCAACCAATGACAGTAATCATATTACAAAAACACTTGACAATAAAACCATGACCATAACTCCATAACAATAACCTCCTGACAATTCATCCATGAAAATAAATCGATGATAATAACCCCATAACAATAGCCCCATGGCAATGACTCCATGACAATAAATCAATGACAATAACTCCATGACAATACATCAATGACAATAAACCAATGATAATAACCCCATAACAATAGCCCCATGGCAATGACTCCATGACAATGACTCCATGACAATAACTCCATGACAATACATCAATGACAATAAACCAATGATAATTACCAAATGGCGACAACCACACGACAATAACGTTTCTATTCACATTCTCGAAATTCTAGTCCTCCATTGTCTTTCGACTAAACCACATCCTCATGACTTTCAACCTTTCACCTCCCAAAAAAACATGTACCAATATTAACAATGTACCCATATTAACATTGTACTCATATCCACCATGTACCCATACCAACTATATACCCATATTAACCATGTAACCATATCAACCATGTGCCATAATTACCATGTACTCATATCAACCATATACTAATATCAGCCATGTACCTATATCAACCATGTACCCAATTCATCTATATACCCATATCATTTATGTTCCCATATTGAATATGTACCCATATCAACCAAATTAACCCACATAGACATTGTACCCATCAATATCAACCATGTACTCATAAAAACCATGTACCCATATCAACTACGTACACATGTCTTTTATGTACACATATCAACCTAACTTCTATTTGTTCTCTCTGTGCCCTACTCACCAATGTCACATTCGACTAGACAATATTCTCTGGAATCCCTACAGAAGATACCATCAAGGTTAGTACACATTTAGTTAGTGCATGTGTCATCAAGTGTGTCTTTTGTCGAGTGTGCCTGTAATTTAGTGTGCTTTCTAATCAATGGTGCGTTTATTCTAATTTGATGTAATCTAGTTTAATGTAATCTAGTGTGATGTAATCTAGCGTGATTTAATCTAGTGTAATGTAATCTAGCGTGATGTAACCTAGTGTGATTTAATCTAATGTGATGAAATGTATTGTGTTGTAACCTAGTGAGCTGTAGTCTAGTCTGATGTAATCTAGTGTGATGTAATCTAGTGTGATGTAATCTAGTGTGATGTAATCTAGTGTGATGTAATCTAGTGTGATGTAATCTAGTGATACTATACACTTGATCTAAAACTTGTTAAGGCTGTTTTTGAAAATAACCCCTTATCACATGCCATTCGTTTGTATCAACTTTGACACGTGTCTTGTTTCTGATTATAAGTAAAGGGTTGCTTTTGAGCCGTGAGAAAGAAATAGAAAAAACATGGTTGATATATTACATGGTTGATATGGATACATGGTTGATATGGATACATGGTTGATATGGATATATGGTTGATATGGATACATGGTTGATATAAATACATGGTTGATATGGGTACATGTGGAAGCTTGAAATGGAAAGACGGGACATTAAAAGAAGAAGGTTCCGGCCAAGAGCCTCCCTCGGCAGACAGGACAAATGGAGAACTAACAAGAAATAGAAAGCAGTTCAATAATTTAAGTGTTCGCTATATTTAAGTTATTGCCGGAAGTATTTTTTTTTCTTTTGTTCTTGTTTTCCCGATGTAATGATTGGTGAACATGGTAAACTAAGATTGGTGAACATGGTAAACTAAGATTGGTGAACATGGTAAACTAAGATTGGTGAACATGGTAAACTAAGATTGGTGAACATGGTAAACTAAGATTGGTGAACATGGCAAACTAAGATTGGTGAACATGGTAAACTAAGATTGGTGAACATGGTAAACTAAGATTGGTGAACATTTTAAACTAAGATTGGTGAACATGGTAAACTAAGATTGGTGAACATGGTAAACTAAGATTGATGAACATGGTAAACTAAGATTGGTGAACATGGTAAACTAAGATTGGTGAACATGGTAAACAAAGATTAGTGAACATAGTAAACTAAGATTGGTGAATCTTCATGTTTACTTTTCTGAAATATAAGTAGGTCAAACGTCTCTTGCATAAGGTATATTTATTTTATTGTCAAGATTTTCCATCAGTGAATCAAATCCATTTTTCTCTTCTTATTTCAGACACAATACTTGACATTACCAAGGAAAAATATATCATTGTGGCTTCTATTAATTCATACAACAAAAATTAAGTTATTTTTTTTTATTTGGGGTTGGTCCTGATATTGTCGTTAATTTTTTTCATTAACCAAATTAATTATTATAATTTTATGTGTAAAAATTGTGATACAATGGCAAAAGAAAAACAACAAATCTACAACAACAAAAGAAAACAGAACAAATAAACAAACAAACAAATTAACAAAAAATTGTATTCAACAAATGCTAACAATTTGTATGACATGTTTAATTTGTTGTAAGCGGGCTTGAGCACAAGACACAGGTAAACAGGTTAATGGTGAGAACACGGTACAGGTGAGAACACACTTCAGGTAAGAATATATTAAATATTAAAGAAATTTAAAAAAAATGTCTTTGTATGACTTATGTCAAACCTAAAGTCTACAGCGGTGATATAAATAAATTAGCTGTGATTGAAGCAGACGTGTCATTGGGTTATTCATGCGCACTGACATAGCGTGCAGCCATTGACCGTGGCGAAGCCATTGAAACAAAACATCAGACAAATGTTGCCCAGACAAATATCTCTCTTGCTGTCTTTACACATGCACGTCTGGCAGCCGTCGTCGTCAATCACAAACCCGTTGTCACAAGGCAGGCATCTGACAAGGGGGCATTCTATAGCGGGAATTTTGAGGACAGGTGTACCTGCTACAGATGGGCTTTGGATGACAGGGGTACCTGAATATAAAGACATAGGCAATGAATTGTCGTGTCAATATACTCTAAAGAAAATTCTTTGAATAAGTTATACATGTACATTGACAACGGAAGTAGTTATGTATTTAGATTGTTTTTTTTAATATATAAACACACCTTCTATAGATTTAACATTGGCCTAATATTTCCTATTCAAATTAACTACTTACCTGCAACCACAGCCAGGAAGAATAAGACACTGGTTAGAACTAGATTCATATCTGTTTTGTAGCAGTAGCAGTCAGCGCCTGGAGAAATTTGACGATTTATATCGAGCTCCAGATTGTGTAGAGTTGAGTGCAAAGAAATTAACCAATCGATTAGAAGACCTACATTTAAGGTCATTTAAGGTCATTTTAGAAGGGCGACTTAAAATAGTTGACCCGTTGACGTCATTTCGGTCTTATCTGGTTATCAAAGTCATTTTTGTTCACGACTGTTAAGACATTTAGGGTGGCGGTGTGGTTTGGCGTGTGGTCAGCTGTGTTGTTAGCTGTGAGGTCAGCTGTGTTGTTAGATGTGGGGTCAGATGTGTTGTTAGCTGTGAGGTCAGCTGTGTTGTTAGGTGTGAGGTCAGCTGTGTTGTTAGATGTGAGGTCAGCTGTGTTGTTAGCTGTGAGGTCAGCTGTGAGGTCAGCTGTGTTGTTAGATGTGAGGTCAGCTGTGTTGTTTGCTGTGAGGTCAGCTGTGTTGTTAGATGTGACGTAAGCTGGGGTTTTAGCTGTGAGGTCAGCTGTGTTGTTAGGTGTGAGGTCAGCTGTGAGGTCAGCTGTGTTGTTAGCTGTGAGGTCAGCTGAGTTGTTAGATGTGAGGTCAGCTGTTTGGTTAGGTGTGAGGTCAGCTTCGGTGTTAAGTGTGAGGTCAGCTTCGGTGTTAGGTGTGAGGTCAGCTGTGAGGTCAGCTGTGTTGTTAGCTGTGAGGTCAGCTGTGTTGTTAGATGTGAGGTCAGATGTGTTGTTAGCTGTGAGGTCAGCTGTGTTGTTAGGTGTGAGGTCAACTGTGTTGTTAGATGTGAGGTCAGATGTGTTGTTAGCTGTGAGGTCAGCTGTGTTGTTAGCTTTGAGGTGAGCTGTGTTGTTAGCTGTGAGTCAGCTGTGTTGTTAGCTGTGAGGTCAGCCGTGTTGTTAGCTGTGAGGTCAGCTGTGTTGTTAGATGTTAGGTTAGCTGTGTTGTTAGCTGTGAGTCAGCTGTGTTGTTAGCTGTGAGGTCAGCCGTGTTGTTAGCTGTGAGGTCAGCTGTGTTGTTAGATGTTAGGTCACCTGTGTTGTTAGGTGTGAGGTCAGCTGTGTTGTTAGCTGTGAGGTGAGCTGTGTTGTTAGCTGTGAGGTAGCTGTGGTTGAGCGGTGAGGTCTGCGGTGTTTTTAGCGGTGAGGTCAGCTGTGTTGTTAGCTGTGAGGTCAGCCGTGTTGTTAGCTGTGAGGTCAGCTGTGTTGTTAGATGTTGGGTCACCTGTGTTGTTAGGTGTGAGGTCAGCTGTGTTGTTAGCTGTGAGGTGAGCTGTGTTGTTAGCTGTGAGTCAGCTGTGTATTAGCTGTGAGGTCAGCCGTGTTGTTAGCTGTGAGGTCAGCTGTGTTGTTAGCTGTGAGGTCAGCTGTGTTGTTAGCTGTGAGGTCAGCTGTGTTGTTAGCTGTTTGGTCAGCTGTGTTGTTAGGTGTGAGGTCAGCAGTGTTGTTAGGTGTCTTGTTAGCTATGTTGTTAGGTGTGCTGTTAGCTTTGTTGTTAGCTGTGAAGTCAGCTGTGTTGTTAGCTGTGAAGTCAGCTGTGTTGTTAGGTGTGCTTTGGGTGTGTTTTTATGTGTGCAGTTAGGTGTTTTTTAAGCATGTGGTTATGTTGGGTTCAATGTGTGGCTATGTGAGTGTAGTTACGCCTGCGGTTACATGTATGTTGTTAGGAGTGTGGTTAGGTGTATTACCATCAGGAAATGACTAACCAACTTCAGCAATGCAATGAAACTAAAAATTTTAGCTTGACAAGAAGCATCAACCGCAAATGATGGCAATCTATGATATCATAAGGTTAGTCATTTGATGGCTGAAATCTATTAATAGAACATCCGGGCATACGGTCTGGCCAATCTCATTAAGCTATTAATTAAACATCCTGGTATCCCGTTTGGCCAAACTCTCCACAGCTGTTCGGAACTTCTACGTTAATCTGAGCCAGCAGAGTGGGTCTTAACCTAGGCGAAAAGGTGTTGACAACTTAATTTTACTTAAGTTTTTACAAACAATTTGACAATGCTATAAATTGCGGAAATACATCGTTAGATGCTGTGTTTTACAACAAACAACAAATGTGACTTTTCCGGTCTTAGAAATGACGAGCCCCCATTCAATGAATGAAAACCCTTACCAAGCTCTGCAGTAACCTGAGAGGTCAGGACTCGATCTTGTCTATGGAGATGGACGGTTGAAAACGACTAAATGAGTTCTCTTCAATGCCCTTTTCTCTGTTTTGTTTCTTTCTGTTCACATATTTCTTTTATTATTTAATTATTTATTTTGTCGCTGTCAATTCAGTTTGAAGGTCCAGGTGACAGTCGAATGTCTTGTTCGAAGTTTCAGAGACGGAAATGTAAGTTAAGTACATGATGTCGATTTAGTTTTTAAAAAAAATATTTTGTTTATTGATTTGAAGGGGTGCGTCTACTATTAAACACATTTGCTACAGTGCTAGGGTGCGTCTACTATTAAACACATTTGCTACAGTGCTAGGGTGCGTCTATTATTAAACACATTTGCTACAGTGCTGGGGTGCGCCTATTATTAAACACATTTGCTACAGTGCTGGGTTGCGCCTACTATTAAACACATATGCTACAGTGCTAGAGTCCGCCTATTATTAAACACATTTGCTACAGTGCTGAGGAGCGTCTACTTTAAACACATTTCCTACAGCCTCTGTTTCACCACGAAAAAAAATTGTTATCTATTCTCATCTCCTTTCTTAATCTCATTTGTTCGGCCACAATGTTAGGCACTTGGCAAAGAGTAGCAAAGTAGCAGACCTGTTTACCACTACCCTTTCGCAGTAGTCACGACTTTTTTAAGCTTAAGACTACGGCACTACGATGAGCCTAAACAACTACAGTTTCGGGTGTTTTTAAGTATGTTTGATTTATTTTTAAATTTAAAAAAAAATGGATGATTTGGTTGTTTTCGGTAAAACGTTATCACATTGTTTGTGTTAACACCGTAAGCGCTCGGATAACAATAACAGTCATTGGCCTTGGTGGTCTCGATCTCAATAAACCAACCAGAATCTTATCTTTCAGAGAATTGCGTTGTTACCACTTAACCGCAAATGTACGGGCTTAAAACCTTTTCTCATCCTAAAACAAAAAACACATTTCAGGACTACATCCTGTATTTTTATTTGTGTTAACTAACACAAGCAGTTGAGTGGATTTCCTTACAGACCTTGTATTTTGATTGCAAATAGCACCGCCCCCACCCCCAAAGACAAATACAAAACAACAACAACTCAACAACAAAAAATGCTAATTGATGAAACTACCATCTGGAGCTTGAAACCTACGTTCTGAGATATGAAAACTACTCTGAAACGAGCCCTGGGGAGGGGGGTAAAAAGGTCTGAAGATGTCTCAGTCAGTTGCAAGGATCTATGTAACCCAAATAATAACGCCCCAAGTGATGTCTTGTCAGTGACATGTCTACTGTCACTGTGTTACGTGTGACGTGTATGGCGTCACCATTATGACTCTCTAAGTGTACACTTTATAACATGTTACAATTTGCACATACTAACCATGGTTATGATATACAAACGACAGCTATGACATACAAACTACAGTTATGACATACAAACCACAGTTATGACATAAAAACCACAGTTATGACATACGAACCACAGTTATGATATACGAACCACAGCTATGACATACAAACCACAGTTATGACATACAAACTACAGTTATGACATACACACCACAGTTATGACATACAAAAAACAGTTATGACATACAAACGACAGCTTTGACATACAAACTACAGTTATGACATACAAACCACAGTTATGACATACAAACGACAGCTATGACATACACACTACAGTTATGACATACTAACCACAGTTATGACATACAAAATACAGTTATGACATACAAACCACCATTATGACATACAAACCACAGTTATGACATACAAACCACAGTTATGACATACAAACCACAGTTATGACATAAAAAATACAGTTATGACATACAAACCACCATTATGACATACAAACCACAGTTATGACATACAAACCACAGTTATGACATACAAAATACAGTTATGACATACAAACCACCATTATGACATAAAAACCACAGTTATGACATACAAACCACAGTTATGACATACAAACCACAGTTATGACATACAAAATACAGTTATGACATACAAACCACAGTTATGACATACAAACCACAGTTGTAACATACAAACCACAGTTATGACATACAAACCACAGTTATGACATACAAACCACAGTTATGACATACAAACCACAGTTATGACATACAAACCACAGTTATGACATACAAACCACAGTTATGACATACAAACCACAGTTATGACAATGCTATTGGGAAAAGTACGCTTAAAAAGCTATTGAAAAACAAACAAGAGACCATCTAATTCATTGATCGTTTATTTCAGAAATACATTTCTATATGTCACGCTGACATGCCTCCTTCAGAGGCACGTGCATGAAGGGCAACCATTAGCAAGTGTTGCGTAACCACTGGGGCAGAATAGGGCACATCCAATGGCGGGACACATTACTGCAATTTGCTTCACTGTGGACAGTTTGTAAATAATTTGATTTAAATATCATCCAGTCATTATGTCGTATCAATATGTCGTCTCAGTATGTGGTCTCACTAAGTTTTCTCATTAGGTCGTCTCAATAGGTCGTCTCAATATGTCGTCTCAATATGTCATCTCAATATGTCGTCCAATATGTCATCTAAATAGGTCGTCTCAATGCTGTCGTCGCAATAGGTCGCCTCAATATGTTGTCTCAATAGGTTGTTTCAATAGGTTGTTTCAATATGTTGTCTCAGTATGTTGTCTTAAAATATCGTCTCAGTTTTTATTCAATTTGTTGCCTCAATATGTCGCCTCTATATGTGGTCTCAATAAGTGGTCTCAACATGTTGTCTCAATATGTCGTCTCAATATATCGTCTTAATATGTTGTCCCAATATGTCAAACCATATGTCGTCTCAATATGTCGCCTCAACATGCTGTCTCAATATCTTCTCAATAGCCGCACTATATTCGGTCTTAATATGTCGTTCCAATATGTCCTCTTAATATGTCGTCTCAATATTTCGTCTTACTATGCTATCTCTATATGTCATGTCAAATCTTTTCTTTGTTTTAGACGACAGTATCAACTTACCTAGCACAGGTTGACACGTGTGTCCACATCCATTGGACCTACATTCATATCCCTCTGCACATCCACCTATCCCGCCAACTGCGCGGATGATCAGACTGTTGCTGCACATCTCCACACAGGTGCCGAAGATGATGTTGTTGAGGTTGATGGCGCCATGACACACTGAGACAGAAAATATACAGGTGGATTTCATAAGCATTTGCCACACATTACCTTTACGTGACACATTACATGTACGTGACAAATTACCTTTACGTGACACATCACATGTACGTGGCACATTACCTTTACGTGACACATTACCTCCACGTGACACATTATCTTCACGCGACACATTACCTTCACGTGACACATTTCCTTCCCGTGACACATTACCTTCACGTAACACATTTCCTTCCCGTGACACATTTCCTTCACGTGACACATTTCCTTACCGTGACACATTACCCTCACGTGACACATTAACCTTCCCGTGACACATTTCCTTCACGTGACACATTACCTTCCCGTGACCCATTACCTTCCCGTGACACATTACCCTCACGTGACACAGTAACCTTCCCGTGACACAGTAACCTTCCCGTGACACATTACCTTCACGTGAAACATTTCCTTTCCGTGACACATTTCCTTCACGTGACACTTTACGTTCATGGGAAACATTTCCTTCAAGTGACACATTACCTTCACGTGACACATTAGCTTCATGTGTTACATTACCTTAACTTGATGGAGACACTCAAACATGAGCATGGACAAGGACATTATAAATTATTTTGCTTTTCCCAATTTCAAAAGTTAACCTTTTACCACTCCATTTGCAGGCGCAAACAAAATGTTTTTATTATAATGGTTTACATAGAACAATATGTCTATACATTACAGCTTATCTGTCGTGAAATATGTGTCTTGTGCTGTGGTCATATTTAGGCACTTGCAATAGGTATTGTAACTCTCAAATAAAAATAAAAAATCCGAGTCTAATCATAAAACCTAATCCCCAAATATTGGCTTAAAATGTTCCTTTTATAAAACGTAAAGTCTAATTTGAGGCCAGACTGACCATTCTAGCCTTACGATGACTGACATAATTTAATTGTTTTCATAGCTTCGTAAAGCAATGAGCCTTGAAAAGCAATTGACACTTTTTAAAATTTAAATTTCACATAGAATAGTGAAAATGGCGGCTACTTACTTAACCAAAACAAAGACAGTTGACTTACCTATAATACAAGTTACAAAAGTAGCCACAGAAGTGGCTATCTACTTACCAAAACATAGACAGTTGCCTAGCCTACACGTTACACAAGTAGCAATAGAAGTGGCTACCTACTTACTAAAACAAAGAGTCGACTTCCCTAAAAGTTACAAAAGTAGCCATAGAAGTGGCTACCTACTTACCAAAACAAAGACCGTTGACTTACCCACAAGTAATGACAGGAGGGTGACAACACCAGAGAGAGACATGTTTAAGACTTAGATGTTCAGAAGATGACCGCCACGAACTATTCAATGCACTGCCGACTAACACAGTTCTTTTCGTCTAATATAAAGTGTGGACAGTCTTATCAGAACGGTTTGAACTACAAGATAAATAGTTTGAGATAAGCATTTGGAAAGTCTATTTTTAATAATGAGAAATAAAGAATTCACTACAAAATCGTGCTTTGATTTTAAAAAATAATGAAACCAACAAACAGACAAACAACCAAAATCCAACCAACAAAAAAAAAAAAGAAAGAAAGACAAACACCAAAAGACAGCTGATGGTGATTTATTGAAGTAACGTGTTGTTTTTTTAAGATAAGCATTTGGAAAGTCTATTTTTAATAATGAGAAATAAAGAATTCACTACAAAATCGTGCTTTGATTTTAAAAAATAATGAAACCAACAAACTGACAAACAACCAAAATCCAACCAACAAAAAAAAAAAAAGAAAGAAAGACAAACACCAAAAGACAGCTGATGGTGATTTATTGAAGTAACGTGTTGTTTTTTTTAAAATAAAGTTCCAAGATAAATATTTTATCGTTATTCTAAATCATGACAGGAAGACCTTGGGCTGTTTTTGTACATTCAAGTTTCAGGGACATTTAACATGTCGAAAGGTTTGTTTTTGATGAAACGTTGTGGTGAAACAGCACTGTTTCTGTTGTGTTTCTAGCCTGTTTCTACTGAGTTTCTAATGTGTTTTTATTGTGTCTTTTAATGCTTTTTTATCTTTTGCTGATGTCTTTCTAACGTTTTTCTTCTACTTCGAACGTGTTTCTTATGTTTATTAATGCGTTTCGAATGGGATTCTAATGTTTTTCGAATGTAATTCTAATTTTTTCTTATGAATTTCTAATGAGTTTCTAAGGTGTTACTAATATATTTCAATTAACACAGATGTAGTCTCTCACATTGATCAGTTGTATCATTCAGTCAAGATAGGACAAAGTAGATTTTGTGCAAATAGGACATAATAAATCTTGTTGCAGATAGGACACATTATATCATGTGGCACAGAGGACACAGTAGATCTTTTGGCTGAGACACCTTAGAACTTAAAAGAAGAGACGACATAAAATATTAGATGTGAGTTCTGTTTAAAATTTTTGAATAACGTCCTTTCGATTGAGTATTTTTGGGGGGTCGACACCACCAACTGACTTACCTGGCATCTCGGCACGCGTCCACAAGTTTAAAGCAATTCCTTGACTTGGAGACGTAACCATTTTAATCTTTCAGCCGATGCGTCTCTCATTCTCCAACTCTCGAAACAAGGTGTCGAGTGTGAAACACAAGCTGCAGGGTGGGATGAGATGTCCCAACAGTGAGTGTTTGACAGAACCTCTAGACAAGAGATTAAACCAACTTTGGCTTCAAAGCTTAAACATAGAAAACTCGGTAATTGCTGACTGTGTTGCTGGATGTGTTGCTGCTTGTGTTGCTGGCTGTGTTGCTTGCTGTGTTACTGCCTGTGTTGCTCGCTTTGAATGCTGGATGTGACTGTCGGTTGTGATCGCTGGCTGTGGTTGCAGGCTGTGTTGCTGGTTGAGTTGCTTGCTGTGATAACTGGTTGTGTTTGGTGTATCTTGGTATAACAGAAGGTTGTTATTTCTATAATTTTCGAGGATTTTTCATAGTCGATGACTTATTACTTATATCTTATTTTGATTTAATGTTAAATGTAATTGTCTTCCAAGCCCATAGCAATAAAAAAGATAAACAACCAAATAATGTTAAAGAACAATAACCCAGGAATGTCAAAGAAAAACAACCCAGGATAGTCAAAGAACAACAACCAAGGAATGAAAGAATGACAACCCAGGAATGTCAAAGAACAACAACCCAGGAATGTCAAAGAACAACAACATAGGAATAACAAAGAACAACAACCGAGGAATATCACATTTGTTTCTCGTTTATTATACCATTCTCTTCACTATTACAACGATCTTCATGTTTAATGCATAAAGTGTAGTCCTCCGAGCAGAATCAAAGTTCATTTCAATAAAATCCTTCGTAGACTCTGGTCAAAGATACTCTGGAAATGAAAAGAAAGGGATACAATGAAGAAATTGGATACATTTGCTGCACCACATCACGACATTTACTTCACTCGGATTGTTGCACTTAAGACATAAAGATATTTATTTAACTTGAATTGCTGCACATAAAAAGAGAAAGACAATAACATTCCTTACATATAGCTGAAGCCAACTAGCCGCTCGTACAATAAAAACCACAGATGTTGTTACCAATAGCACAGTGCAAGCCTGGACCACAATCACATTCTGGTGGGCACGGCAGCATCAAGCTGAGGGCCACTGAAAACAAAAAATGTACTTATAATAGTAATATTTCTCACTGTTTTCATCATGGTCCAAACATTAAACATTGACATAGGAAAAGCGACTGTCAAATTTCATAGTTAACGAGGTAGTCCTGTGTCACATTTCATAGTTAAAGAAGTGAGACACATTTCATAGTTAACGAAGTGAGAGCTTTTTTAAACTTAAAATAACTTACCTGAAATCAAGGCCAACAAAATTGCGACCACAAAAACAATATTCATTCTCAGATTAAAGTAGTTTTTTTTTTTACAAATAGAAACGGCCTGTCTTTCCGAGTGATACAAGATGTCTGAATTGTTGTCTTAGTCACTTTACTTCAAGCGTTCAGAATTTTATAGATAAGAACAAATTCAATTTATGATTCCGCCATCTGTCCATGTTTCGGGTTTTTATCTTTATCTGAGTTATCTGTGTTTTTAACAAAGATAACACAATCTCATCGTGAGACAAGTAGGAGACAATATTTAAATCTCATTTCTAAATGTAGTTTACCCTTCTGAGTTGCTGCTTTGTTCCTTCATCTCAGTGTCCGATGGACGTCCTGTATTTACAGCCAACCAGCTCCCAGGTTGTTTTATAGTGGTTTTTTTGGGGGGTTGCCATATCATAAAACGACATTCCATAATAATACGAAATAAAATAACGGAAAAAATGGAACCGTTTATGGTGAATAATTGAGTCAAATGACTCAATTTTTTCAAGGTGAATTTAGTAAATTACTAAGAAAACTTTCAAGGTGAATTTGGTAAATTGAATCAAAGAAGTCAAGTTATTCAAGATGAATCTTTCTGTGAATCTCTCTTACTTTCAGTTCCTCTTGTGTCTCACCTTAATATTTCACCTACCTAAAATAGAGTGACAAAGAAATGACTTTGAGACTGAATATGTCGCGTCCTTTTTTCCAATATGGAATTTTGCATGGCCCAAATTTCACTTCAAATTGACGACCTCGTCAATCGGGTTTTCCGCTACATGAAGCTATGTCAACATTATTGACGACCTCGTCAATCGGGTTGTACGCTACATGAAACTATGTCAACATTATTGGCGACCTCGTCAATCGGGTTGTACGCTACATGAAGCTATGTCAACATTATTGACGACCTCGTCAATCGGGCGTTGTACACTACATGAAGCTATGTCAACATTATTGACGACCTCGTCAATCGGGCGTTGTACGCTACATGAAGCTATGTCAACATTATTGACGACCTCGTCAATCGGGCGTTGTACACTACATGAAGCTATGTCAACATTATTGACGACCTCGTCAATCGGGCGTTGTACACTACATGAAGCTATGTCAACATTATTGACGACCTCGTCAATCGGGCGTTGTACACTACATGAAGCTATGTCAACATTATTGACGACCTCGTCAATCGGGCGTTGTACACTACATGAAGCTATGTCAACATTATTGACGACCTCGTCAATCGGGCGTTGTACACTACATGAAGCTATGTCAACATTATTGACGACCTCGTCAATCGGGCGTTGTACACTACATGAAGCTATGTCAACATTATTGACGACCTCGTCAATCGGGCGTTGTACACTACATGAAGCTATGTCAACATTATTGACGACCTCGTCAATCGGGCGTTGTACACTACATGAAGCTATGTCAACATTATTGACGACCTCGTCAATCGGGCGTTGTACACTACATGAAGCTATGTCAACATTATTGACGACCTCGTCAATCGGGCGTTGTACACTACATGAAACTATGTCAACATTATTGACGACCTCGTCAATCGGGCGTTGTACACTACATGAAGCTATGTCAACATTATTGACGACCTCGTCAATCGGGCGTTGTACGCTACATGAAGCTATGTCAACATTATTGACGACCTCGTCAATCGGGCGTTGTACACTACATGAAGCTATGTCAACATTATTGACGACCTCGTCAATCGGGCGTTGTACACTACATGAAGCTATGTCAACATTATTGGCGACCTCGTCAATCGGGCGTTGTACGCTACATGAAGCTATGTCAACATTATTGACGACCTCGTCAATCGGGCGTTGTACACTACATGAAACTATGTCAACATTATTGACGACCTCGTCAATCGGGCGTTGTACGCTACATGAAGCTATGTCAACATTATTGACGACCTCGTCAATCGGGCGTTGTACACTACATGAAACTATTTCAACATTATTGACGACCTCGTCAATCGGGTTGTACGCTACATGAAGCTATGTCAACATTATTGGCGACCTCGTCAATCGGGCGTTGTACACTACATGAAGCTATGTCAACATTATTGACGACCTCGTCAATCGGGCGTTGTACACTACATGAAGCTATGTCAACATTATTGACGACCTCGTCAATCGGGCGTTGTACACTACATGAAGCTATGTCAACATTATTGACGACCTCGTCAATCGGGCGTTGTACACTACATGAAGCTATGTCAACATTATTGACGACCTCGTCAATCGGGCGTTGTACACTACATGAAGCTATGTCAACATTATTGACGACCTCGTCAATCGGGCGTTGTACACTACATGAAGCTATGTCAACATTATTGACGACCTCGTCAATCGGGCGTTGTACACTACATGAAGCTATGTCAACATTATTGACGACCTCGTCAATCGGGCGTTGTACACTACATGAAGCTATGTCAACATTATTGACGACCTCGTCAATCGGGCGTTGTACACTACATGAAGCTATGTCAACATTATTGACGACCTCGTCAATCGGGCGTTGTACACTACATGAAGCTATGTCAACATTATTGACGACCTCGTCAATCGGGCGTTGTACACTACATGAAGCTATGTCAACATTATTGACGACCTCGTCAAT